GCCGCAGTAAGGCCACCGTTACTCCTCGAGGCGGCCCGGTGTCGAGAAGGCGCCGTTAAAATACAGCCGGTTTTCCCTCCTGGCTGCAAACCGTCCAATGGGCACGGTGTCGCGTTACACCCTGGATTAGGAGGTGGCAGTTCTTGGTCGCTGTCCGCCCGCAGCCCTAAGCTGGAAAGAGGGTAGCACAGAAGCTGAAAGCGTCTGCGTTACCCCAGTCCAGAGAAGGGCTGAATGGAGGTTCAGCTAAGCCCCCGCACCAACGGCAAGGTGCCTGCCCTAGCGAGGGGAACGGAAACGGAAAGTTAAGTTTGTGGTAATTTGCTTCTTCAGTTTATTTACTTTATGGTAATTCAAACTTGCATTTCGCCTTACCGATGTTTAACTAAACGTTTGACCATAAAAATTTTAAGATTCGCATATGGAAACTCAGAAAAAATGACCAAACAAAAATGAACTGGATTGTTCCAGTTTTGCACCCTCTTAGTATTTGCTGAATTTTATAATTCAAAGAGGAGTTCTGGCTCATTTCCTGCAATTTTGTAATCAAGGCGTGTGGGATTTTCGCTGTGAGTGCTTTAAGTGCACAATCCAAGCAAAAAGAATTTAAAGTTTTTGCAAAACGGTCAGAAAGGCTACGCTATAATGAAAGAAATCATATCGGCCAAATGTCCGTTTTATGGTTATCTAAACAAGCGATAAAAGGGCGGACCTCAGTCTGCAAGATCAAGAGACCACAAAAATTGCAATTTGCTAGGCTAGGCATATTGGAGGGTCTGAATACCAAAAAACTTTGGTTAAACATCAGAAATTACTGCTTTTTCACCACAAAGCAAGTGACTGGACATTATGTAAGACATGAGAACAAATTATTGCAGCACAATGATAAAGAGGAGAAAGCCTTCCAGAAAAATTTTTTGTCAGAAACGCATTTTTACTAAGAAAAAACATTGGATTGGTATTATTTTGAAGCGGGAATTTACAAGTTCTTCATAAACGACCACATTATTCCACCAAAATTTACTATTAATTAGAGCACGGCCCTAAATTTTTTAACTCTGAGGATAAAATTAAACGTTTTAAGTCGGAATATTGGTTCAAGTGCTGTGCACCTGCATCAGGGATACGCCTAACATCCAAAATATTTAAACTATTAGGTTTGTATGTGTACATTTAATGACGTAGGGCCGTGTTACGCCTTAGGGAGTAAGAACTGTGGTAAAATCGACGGTAAAAAGAAAAGTGACAACTAAGGAGCATTTTCAAAGAATTTGGCAATTTGGCTTTTATCAATTTTAACAGGACAATGATCAGATATATCCTCCGAAATTGGGGCCAAATAGGTATAAAACCCAAGTTTTTATAATCATGGAGTGACCTGCGTAAAGCCCAGAATTGATTCAACAGAAAACGTATGGAATTGTTTGAAAATGCCACTGTTCAATTGCGAAAATTTGCCCAATCGCATGCAAGACCTTGGGATTGGCGTTGAGAAAAACCGATGCGCATTCTCAACAGATTTCGTCTAAAACCTGTGCGAAAGTATCTCAAGATGACCATAAAAGCTAAAATATTCAAATTGGTTATGGCCAATTTATTAAAAGTCAAGCAAATGGTAAAATTTTCTGTCGGGTGAAAACTGGAACAATCTAGTTGCTACGTTTTTTTGCAATTTTCTTCTTTATCTGCTTGTATTAATTATTGTTTTTAAGGCCTTCTGATGAAATAAATATTGGAAATGTGAATTCCGAAACTAGAATAAAAAGTCTTCATATATTGCGAATATATTGCAAGAAAATTCACATTATGTATTACTGTTCCGGTTTTGCTCCTCAGTGTAATATTTGTACGGCAAGATTTTTCTTTAAGGCGACAAACCCCTAGAAATGCGCGTGGCAATTGCAGGACTAAAGTTAGAAAAACGCAGATTTTATTGCGGATTTCAGCAGAGTATCGCTTCGTTAACAATCAGCCCTATTCTGTATTTTGACTCGAATGGAAATATTCTTCGTTTGGCAACTTTGGTATTCTGCGTTCCGTTTCCTTTCGATCAATCTTTGAAATTTACGATTATATCTATTCTACATTTCGATCGTAGCTCCGTTTTTCTAAGTTGCAAATTTGTTGACGGAGAACGCTTCGATTGTTATTTTCGTGGGTTTAAATAATACAATTTTATAAAAAA